AAAATTAGAGTCCAACTCTAATTTAGAGATTTCAGGGTGAACATATTTAATTAAAATCAAATTTTAATTAAATGTCAAATTAGAGTCTAAGTATAATCTCAAGAAGAAATTTAGGATGAGACAATTTAATCAAAATCAAATTTAATTAAATGTCAAATTAGAATCCAATTCTAAATTCAACAAATGCTAGGTGAATTATTTAATTAAAATCAAATTTTAATTAAATATTAAATTAAAATTAAATATTAAAGTAGTCCAACTCTAATTCCAACGAAAATTTTAGGATAAGACAATTTAATTAAAATCAAATTTCAATTCAACATCAAATTAGAATCCAATTCTAATTTCAAGAATATATTCGGGTGAATAATTAATTAAAATCAAATTTTAATTAAGTATTAAATCGGAATCCAAATCTAATTTAAATTGAATTAATATTTTAATCTAGGATAACACTCCTAAATAAAATACATTTCGGTTTAATATTTAAGTTAAAATCCAATTTCAACCAAAATATAAAATGTCGTCAAATTTAAATAAAATTTTAAATGGGTCAAAATTGAAATTTTAGGGTCAAACCCATTTAAAATCAAATTTAAAATTTAAATTCAAAACTCCCTTTTGAAATTGCAAATTGACCCATTCTGAAATTATTAACAGAGTCCTCAACATTTCTAAAATTTCATGAAGGCCCCTTATTCTATATTGCACATTGACCTCATTCCTTTAATTGTGGCTGGCCCCCTAAAACTTCAAAAATTACAGGAAAAGCCCCCATCCCAAAATTTATTCAACCCGATTTCTGGAGCCTTAGATTTTTTTTTCTCCATGGCATTCACTGAGCAAGACCCTTCGCCTTCACCCCAGGAAGCGCAAAGGCGCTGCTGCTGTTGCCTGTTATGCGCGGCGGTCACCAGCGGCGTGCCGCCATCGCCATGTCCGCCACCCGCCATGCCCCCCTTTTTTATTTATTTTTATTTTTTATTTCTGATCCAAAATTATTCTCTTCTCAAAACAAATTTCGAAAATGAAAATAATTCTAAATTGCTAGATCCAAGAAAAACATGAAAAATCAACTTTTGATTTCAATAATATGTAAATCAATTCCTTACAAACACAAAGTAGGCTCTGATACTACTGTTAGGAATCTACTTATCATGCGCAGCGAAAATTAAACAATTTTCAATTCCTACCAATATTCATCTTTGTGTTTAGATAGAAATTGTATCTTTTAAAGATCTGCAAACTCTTTTTCTATTCTTTCGTTCCAGCAATTTTAATTCGTCACCCACAACTGTCCAATTATTCAGCCTCCAACAATTATCCACACAGAAAATAAGATTGTAGGATTAGAGTTTCTCTTGTGCTAGCAAGAATAATGAAAAATCTCTATAGTTTTTGAAAATCCTAATCATATTTATATAACTCTGAACGGGCTCGGCTTGATCCGATCCAATATTTAATTAATTCGTTTAATTAAATTTGGTTCGTGAATTAATTAATTAAACTAATTAATTTAGGCCAATAAATAAGCAACTCAATTAATTAATTTATCAAACACTTGTTAAATTAATTAATTGACAAATCACAATCTTCTAGTTCTCCTTTTATGTGCGACTTATTAGGTTTTCGATCACAATTCCTAACGACGTGAAATATTATTTTGATCTAATCAAAATTGATAAATTAAAACACCCTTAAATTTATCATCAATTCACACTCGTTATCCCAAATTGACATATAGTAATGTGTTAAGGCAATACATGTGACAAAAAAGTCACGTGGTATGACAAAACCAAACTCGTTCGTTTACTAAAACTATAATCCATTCGTCAATAGGATCCGATCAATTACGAGATATGAAAGTGTGTCAATCTAGATTATTGATCGTATATTTCACTCCACTATTAAGTCAATATAAGTCAAAAACTCCTTTTTGATTTATGAGTATACATTTGCCAATGATTTCGTTATCGACTTAATTGAAATGAAATGTAGATCATAATTTCTTACTATCTAAGAGTGATGAATCCTCTATTGGTCATTCACAACCTTCTTACGATTCTTGACACACCCGAACGATACCGTATTAGCGGGCCTTGGCCGAGCAACATCCAACACTGTCAAAGCATGATGACGACCTCAAGTCTAAATACCAATTCCACTACCGAACGTTGAAGATTGAGCACTAACACTCAAATAGTTATCCATGTGAAATCTCTTAGCGGGTCTCCAATGTTTTGTTCTATAACAAAACATCCACGTATTCATTCAAGTGTCATTATACTTTAACTTGTGAGATCAGCTACTTACTTCACAAGTAAGAAATGTCACACGTGATGGTTTATCCGTAATAACGATATCCGTTCTCGCCATTACTTATGACCACGAATGATTTAAGATTCAATCATATATAATTTGTATCTCACAATCACAACTCATAATAACAAATTATCAAAATTTAAATTTACGGATTCTATTATTTAATTTAATTGAATATTAATTAAATAATAGATCTACCATAAAATTGCATCAATTATATATATATATTAAAAGTATTTACGTCCAAGGTTGATTGGATCTAAGGTATAATACTTACAGTTGTACTTCTCTATCTAAAGTTAGAGGTCTATTCATTGACATCTTGTACTTCTGACGCAAAATGATTTTAGTAATTATTTAAATTTATTTGAGTTTTCAAAATCCTGTCAAATAAATCCTAACTAGAGTTATATTAAGTTAAAAGGCTTGATCTGTGAGCTTATAATCAGTTAAGTATTAGTGAAGGTTAGTTCTGTTCAATGTATTCAACTTTGAAAGGCGATTTTTATTTTGAGTCAATTGCATTAAATCCAGTAGAATACTGGTTCAAGTGCTGCAGAAAAGTTTTCACTCTTCAGCTGTA